GTCGACGAGTGTGGCTCAAAAGCTTGTTGCTTAACTCTTGCACATCCAAGATTACTTAAAGGATCAGAACATTCTTGGTCCCAATGTCCTTACATCATATCCTTAGCTTCAATCAATTCAACGAATCTATACCATCCATGGTGGTATGTCTTGGTTAGCTTTATTTCATTAACTCAAAATGGTTTCCAGCAACGAAAGCAGATTGCCATATTGTTTTTATGGATTTTAGGACGATAATAAAAATGATATGATTCATCAAATTTGCCTTCACCAAATCCTGCAAACAAGCAGAAACTATGGTATATGCTATTTTCATTTCGTGATAATAAATATTGGAGAGTATTTTTAACTCGTAATCCCCACTGCACTGGAGACTCTCCCTTTCTTATTATCAATAATCTGTTATAGATTTTTTCATTAGCAAGAAATTTTCCGACATCCATACCACTATAATAATTCCTGAGATATGTTCTATAATATTCCATATCATATCCAGGACGGTTACTGACGGGCTTAGGTAACCGCATCGTTTTTATCAATAATCATACTAATATTAATAGCACTTGCCAAGGTAACAACCGTCATATTTAGCAAATTATGCTGATTTTATCGATTTATAGCATTTTTAGCGAATTCTAGCAATTCTTTAGCAACTTATACTAGATAATATCATCATTCAAATTTATACAGATTTACTGATTAGCAATTAGTTAATTTGTAGCCGATTTGTGAGACTAAATGCTAGTAAATCCTTTATTCGATTATGCCCTTGTTTTAGGGTGAAATATTGGTATGATTCGGCTAAATTGGATCTGATCACCATAGACGGCTAAATTATCTTCGGCTAAAATTTATATCACATATGATCTCCCTAGTTCCCTGTGCGAAGTGCCTACGGCCCAGTTCCTTGATAGTTCTAGGAATGTTCCAAGCGCTGGCGAGTTTCTATAAATCATGAGATGGTCGGCCAATCAGATTTCGGATTTTTCTTTAGCCAGCGGGAATTCGGGAGAAAAAAATATTATTTTTTCTGATGGTAGAGTCTGGACTGCTAGTCCGAGCTCGTCAAAATTGTGCAGAAGAAACGGCGCAGTACATTTATATCAAACCTTTTGTTTTAAGATTTCGGCAATTACATAATCTTTTTCATCCTTAGTTAGATTTAAGATGAAGAAAGACTTGGGAAAACCGTTACTATTGGTAACGATCTGAATCATGTGACTTTGGAAATGATTTTATCTCGCATTTACACAGTATTACATGCAGAATAAAGCGCCGATATGGGCAGATATACAAATGCCCCTTTGAAGCTATGCTCCTTCAGGGTGAAGCAGAAAAAAAAAATATAAAGCTATTTTATTCGAGAGTATTTTAAAAGTTATCACCTCGCAGATCAAAGATCAAGGAGGCACATTAATATATGTTTGTAAATACACGTGAACGAAAATCTATTTTTTTCTGGTGGTAGAGTCTGGACACAGTGTTCGGGTTTGTCAAAATTGTGCAGAAGTAACAGCGCAGTACCTTTTTTTTCATATTTATTCGAAAGATATAATTATGTCATCACCCTGAAGATTTTTGATCAAGGGGCAGTAATCGTTAATACAAGTAGATACACAATTAAAATAAAGCCCGGAATGGGCAGATATACATTAATATATACACGTGAACTGTTGTGTGTCTTTAAATGATAAAAGCATGGGATCAATTGTTCATAATACACTAAAATGCAAGAGTATATATTCAGTCCGCATAAATGCAAATATGCCGTAAGATTTCTTTCGATTCTTTTATTTGAAATTAGTTAAAAATAACAACCGTGAATATTAAATCTTATATAAAGAAATCATCTCAATTAGCTAAAGTCTACATTAAATCTAAGCCATTGCGAAGCAAGATAATTGAAAGTTAACGAATTGACCAACTCATTCATCAAACATTCCCTCAGGTATCTTTAATACATGGCGGACTGTCACTTCTTTTGATCGAAGTACAGATCCATTGATTTCTCCCATTAGCTCTTCCTGCTTTGTTACCTCGTCCTATGAAAAAAAATATTACCATATAAATAATTTTGGAATATAAAAACATGAACGTTCACCCAATAGACATACATAAAAGATTGCCATCATCCGAAGGACAGCTTTGTACTGATGCCGACCATAAAAGCTAAAAGGAATTGAAGCAGTAGCGAGTTCTGCAGAAAGAAATTGTCCATCGGTCAGCATGTTTAGGGAATAGAGGGTCATTCGAGTGCCTAAAAAAGCAGAAAATATAAGAATCAAAATAGCTCAATCACATAAAACCATGTATATTACTTACCAATAACCTGAGTACAGAATACTTTTATTTTGGTTGCGAGTTTAATGTTACAATCAAGATGATTACGTAACACTCCAATCAAATTTAATACATCCATTCTAAGTGTTTTTTTTGTGTCACCCACAGTATGTACGTCAGCTGTATTGGATGGTTCCCAGCTACTTCTATGTGCCATATTTCTAAGCCGTCAGAGTTTCGTGTTGCTTTAGAATCTACTTTAACAATACCAGAGTTAGTGACAGATTTCATTATTTTTGCAGATTGTGCGTGACTTTCTATCCAATCGAAGTCCAGATTCAAAATCGTTGATTCATAATATTTAAAGATCGATGAAATTTGATTAGTAATAAATTTGCGTTCCCCTATTTTTCGGCTCATAGAAGGATTTCTATCAACGAGATTATAACTAAAAAAGAAGCGGTTGTCAATGTTTACTTTGATCAACAATATCAGATACTAACATCTACTTACAAGTCAAGAAATACTTTTTCGCAATATAATCAGAAAAGTCCATCTGGAACTTCAACTAAGACAGCAGTTTTAAATTTTTTTCCGGTGTTCTTAAGGGCGGTATCTATATATTTTTCTAAATCAGATGTCCATACTTCAGGGTTGGTGTCGCGTACAAAAGATAGTTTATTGGCAAGCTTCGCGCTGATTTCTAAAGTCAACTCTGAGATTGTTTTATCAAACGCGCATATCACGGATATGTCTTCAGAGTATCTGGAGGAATTTGTGAGGCAGGACACTATTAGAATACCTCTCATTCGTTAAGTGATAGGAAAATAGGACTTACTGTTGAATTTCCTCTTTATTTAACGGTCGCTTATTAGGTATTATTTCCAACGGAGTTAAATCGCGTAGAGCTTGCGATGGGGTTCTAGGTACAGATTGTGGAGATTCCGTCGATTGTGAATGAGCAGTACTATTTACTCTCCTTATCTTCCCTGATTTCTTCTCTTTGTCTGAATCGTCTTCAGCGTAGTTAACGCATTTCATTGGCCGAGGCGATCTGCGGACTGAAGGATCTCCCTGCAACATATTCGCAATTAAAAAAAATTCTGTAGCTTATAACTGATCGTGATAAGACCTACCTTTTCTTTACCAACGTTTACCGATTCTTCAGCCCACTTATCAACTTTCGCGTCAGTAACTTTAGCGATACCTCTTTGATATTTCGTGATGCGCTTTTGCTTATAAAGAGAAAACAGAGATTGTAATGAGCTCATTTCTATAGTAAAAAAATAAGAATCTAACAAATATGCACTCACAAACTGAACTTCGCGACCGGTCTTCTGTTTGTTGATCGCTTCTTCATTTTTATAGGATCGAATGCGTTGTTTTTTCCACGCCTCAAAATGAAAAGATAGCATTAGTTATAAGACTCACACGAATTAGCTCGAAATGATTGGGGAGGAGTGGTTTAGGTCCAAGTAACCGCAGTCCCCAGACTTCCAAACTTGAGCGACCGCAGTCTCCAAGTTTGCCACCGATCAGGGTCATATGAGCGACCGCAGTCCTCATACGCCAGAAGTAAGTGACACGCAGTCCCTACTTCCTTTCAGATACTTAAGCCCTCTCCTAAACGAGAGGCTCTATCCTTCAATGCATAATATATAAAATAGTTTACTTACAACCCAAGTGTCTCTAGTCCTTCAGAACACGCGTCGTATTTTCTTTAAAGAAATTTGATTCGAGTACTTCATCCAAATCTTGGGCTATTACTTGATATACTTACGAAAGTTTGCTATTTGACATTTCCTGCTGATAGTAGTCGAATATATTATCAACAGTTATAGAATTAATCGCAGATACTACATCGGGCTGAGTGAGGAATCGGAAAAGTGGTCTTCTGGAGAAATGTTCCACTAAAAACGAAGAATTAGTAAAGTTGCGATGGATCAGACGAAAGACTTGTTCTACATACTTTTTTTATCGATGCAAGTAGAAAAAGAATAATAGAAGAAAGATATTCATGTCAGTATTTCTAAGCCACAATTCCATTACATGCTTGTAACACCGATCACTTTTGCATTTAAGACAAAATTTTATTTATTTTTCAGATACTGTACATAACTAATCGGAAGATAGCAAGGGAAATATATGATGCTATCAAAGAGGGAGGGAGTACGCGGATCCTAGGCTATTTAATGCGAGTCCCAGCATCAAGTTATTTCTTTGCTCTCTCACGTTTACGAAAAATATCTATAGCTAATTTGTTTCTATTACTAATATTTCTAATTAAAGATTCTCATCCTTATACTCTTTTTCTATACTAGATTTTCGAAATAAATTATCCCACCCATGTTTACAAGATTTTTGTCTATCTATATCTCTCCCAAAAATGCAGATTATGTAAAATAATATTTCCTGTAATGAAACTTCTCAGAGATTAAGTAAATTCGAATCTATGGATAAATTCAGGAGATTAGCAACTGAGGTAAAAAAAATATTTCCGATTCATACTTACCATTATTACTTAATGCATTACAATAAAGGTAATTCAATTTTTTTATTGCCAGTATGATACTACGCCAAAGTTTATTGAGGAGTGTGATGTTAAGGCATGTGACGAGATTTATGTGAGTAATTTTACTGTACCTATTGTACGCGTGATGATTGTCAAAGATTTTCTCGGTAAAGATCAAAACGTCGATATATAACAAGAAGAGTAATGCGTCCGTTTTATTTTGGAACATCTATAGAGGCGGGAAAATCGATTAACATTGTGATGACATGTTTCAAGAAGTTAACCCGAACTATAAAACCAATATACCTTATTATTATTTTGCAGAATATAGGAGTTCGTTTGATCAAGAATATTAATGATGTAAATAATAGTATGTTAGATTGGTTTTGATTTTTTCGTTTTACTTGCATAAGGCGGATAAAAGGGTTCACTAACTGTCTCAACTTCTTTTTATATGACTTATAATGGGTTTAAGGTTTGATTTTCAAAATAAATCTTTGGGGAAATCACGTTATTATGATTCATCACGAAAATCAGATTAACGGATGCTCCCTAAAATTATAATAGACACAGGGATTGTGTCCCTGGATCAACAAGGGGGACTTTTTATTATTAATACATGCAAAAGCTTGAGTATATGCAGGAAGTTTCGAGAATAAATTACATAGTGCAATGTTCTAATGATACTACGCATTTATAGGATCTGGATCCTCAGATGAAAAACTGAGAAATATTAGCGTATAAACACAATCTTATACTAGATATGACATATAAATATATTGTGTTTAATGTGCCTTAGCTTTATTGATTGTAAATAAAAAAATACATATTTTTGTTTACACTGCGGAATAATATCTAGTGCAATAATGCTATCATGTAGCTACAATTGCGAACTTGAATTTATTGCTTGAAGAGTTATAGCTAAGACAATATTCTGTTCCATTCCTATACCATTCGCCATGTAATTCATAATTCCTATGTTTTCTATCGCAAATAGGACATGGTGAGCTCTACGGCTGAGGTGATGCAAAATTATAATTATCAATCCCTCTGAAACTATTTCGGAATTTCAAGTATGTGAAATGCTCTAACACAGATTTGATAATTAAGCAAGGTTTTTCTGATATACTTATCACAGATTACCATAGCTCATTTCCAGTTTCTTTTTTATAACTTTTGTATAAATTGATACGAATTTTATCTGTCAAAACGCTTGGTAACCCACCTAATTTGACATGCCAATCCAGATATTTAGGAATTAATACTTTATCGGATTTGCTCATGTTTCCTTTTTTTCTATGATTACAGATCAATTTAAATTTTCGGATAGAAAACTGTCTAATATTTCTTATCATATTTCCAAAAAAATAATTAGAGGTCCCATAGGGCGGGATCATCTTTTGAAGTATTTATGATGTAAGAAAGGGTCAAAGGGGTAATGAGACTATGCAGTTATCTCAATTTCGCGCTGTTCACATTTAATAAAATAAGATCTGGATTTATACCTACCTTCTATACTTTCTTTATCATTATGATTTAACTTGCATAATGGGCATATTTTCTCATTGGTAATTCCATAATAATTGAAATTTTCACTACTAAATTCTCTATATAAATTAGGATATTGATCTAATGTCTTATTGCGAAAATAGGATCGGTCATAAGTTAGATTAATTCTAGGAATTGATGCAGTTGCTTGAGATGTGACTGATGAAAGGTCATGACTTTGATCGTTACTAGTTTTTGAGGTCACATGACTCTGATCATTACCATTGGTAACGGTTTTATCGTTCACATGATCTATAATAATTTTTTTTTTTTAACTTAGGTTTTAGTGATCGGTCGCCCGAATATTCTGACTCTGCGGCTCATATGTCTGATATGTCATTGTATTCAGAAACAAGCCTCTCCTGGCTACATTTAAAGCTAGTCTGAACCGCTAAAACACTAGTCTTCGCAACTGGTTATGTATCCTGAACGCTGCACAACTAACCTCTGATACAGTTAACACGAAGGATTCTGTCTAATTACTGAAAAGAGGAGTCTTTTATCAACCTAATTCAGAATAGCTGTCTAATACAGTTAATACGCCCAGACTGTCAAAATCATCCTGAAAATTGAACTCAGGCCTCTCAAACCCTAATTAACTCATAGACACCATAGTACTTCAACTAGAAGCCACCTATAACCCACGACTCTTATTCAATCCAAGTTATACAGCATTTACCATTGACCCGTCATGTCCCATTATCAGTAATAACCCCTTGCAGATGATGCGGCACTTACCCATTACAGGCCAGCCCCCTAATACAAGTTCTGAACTCAATTAGTTCTGTGTAATGTGATCACTTGCGTAATCACACAAGTTTACCATATTCTACAAGTTCGTGATCCTCAACGCATATAGTTTGTGTATATCCTATGAAATTCATTCTCAGAATCGAATTGGTAAAACCTGCAGTAAATTAATACTGCAATATGTACTTGGCAGGTACTGAACTAAGATCTATTGCAGTATAACCTACAATAGGGACTCATGCCTTGCAGCATAAGCCAGGGATGCCAATCTATAATATTTTAAATTTGGGTATTGGTTAATCTAGAAATATCATTCGCGCTACAAGTGACTAACTTAATTCTATCTATTCCAACCCCTTTTTCTTCAAATAACATAAGAATATTTTTGGCTCTATGTGTTCAGATTCGCAAATTACCCAGAGTAACATTAGGTAAATACTGCAACATTTCTTTGTATATCATAGATCTTGCTGTCTTATCTTTAGTTTTACCATCAGCTGTAATATTTTTAACTTTTTCTTCAAACTCAAAGGAATAATGATACAGGCATAAGATTTCTTTTAGACCCATCCTTATAGCCTCATCAATCCAATAAGCTAATCTCTATGTAAAGCCCTTAATTGCATTATTTAAGATGGACTCATTATGTAGTTTAACTAATGCTACTGAAGAAATAGGTCTAGAAAGATCACACTTTAAAATTTGTTCAGTGACTTGATTTCTGTCAAGCAGTTGTATAGCAATCAGCCCAGACGTTTCAGCATTTTTGCTATATGTACAAGTAATATAATTATCTGTGCTAAGTGATAATTTCAAATCTTGATCGTTACCAATGGTAACAATTTTTTTATTACGTGATAATTTTGAATCTATTATGATCTCTGTATCGGGTGATAAGTCAGAAGTAACGTCTTAGGCTTGATTTTTGGCTGACTCACGTTGAAGCCTTTTCTTATCTGCCTCATTCAAGAATTCACCTATCTCTCTCTTCTCTGATAACTTGGAGTTGACTTCTGGTAACACTTCTAATATCACATCATTTGCTTTACAAACAGGCGCATGTTGCTTGAACTGGTCTACTACAGAATCATCATCAGCTGATATTTCTGGTAATACCTCTGATATCACTTCCTTATCATTCTGTGGTTGCCCATCCACTGCTACAGAACTCTTTTCTACTACTGCAAGCCTAGCCTCAAGCCCTGCATTTTTCTGCTCTAATTCCTTTTCTTTGGCATCACGCCTCTTGTTATATTCCTTATTTGCTCTTAAAAACTCGATATTTTTGCGCTTAAGTTCAGCTATTTCAGCATCAGATACTAAGAGCTTGATTCTAAGATTAGAGATTTCAATATTCTCCTTTCTGAACTTTGCATTCTCAGCCTCAAGTTCAGTGATACGCTGTTTTAATAATTCAAGCTTAGATGATATAATTGATAAATTTTATACAAGAAGTGAAATATTCAAAAATTAGTTAGTATATATACATAGAGATTGTGACATTTACCAAGAGAAATTTATAAAGTCACCAGATTTCCAGAACCGCGCGGTCTCAGAAAAATGCTAAGAAAATTTTACGTGATCTGCTTATAATGCAAAAAAATCTTCTAAGCTGATGATCACTGCTCTGGACTAGCTAGATTATTCAGACTCTGATTCAGTTTCAGAGCTAGAATGGAACAGTAATCTTCATCAAAATCGATATGAATATTTGGATTTAGCTGGTCTATGGCTTTTTTGCTAATATTTTCACATCCATCTAAAGCTAGAAATTTTATATTGAAACATGAGCAAGCAATTTCTTTGATAGCCATACTGGTAATATTACAGCAACTAATGTTAAGATGTTGGAGCTTTGAACAGGAATGTATAACATTACAAATTGATGGTTCACTGACAAATTTACAGCAATCCAGATCGAGATATTCTAATTTATAACAAGTATGAGCCAGTGCTTCAGCAACCTCATCACCAATATCATTATAACTGATATCTAAATGTCTTAAATTCGGAGATGCTCTGATGATAGCCACAATTAATGCATCATCCCACAAAGCTATGACACCAGCAAAGTCAAGATACTCTATGCTGAGACATCTCTGTATTAACATACTAGCATCTTTGATATCTTTCTTATTATGTGAAATATCAAGATTTCGTAAATTTGGGCATGAGTTTAAGATGCAATTATAGATTTATCTGTAATCTGACATGCTTTGGCAAAATGGAACTCTTGCAAATCACGGCAATTTTCTGCGATCTCAAAGATTTATCGCTAATATTTCTGCAGTAAGAAATATTTAGATGTTCTAATTTACGGCATAATCTAATGATTACACATAAGCCTTTATCAGTTATTGCTTTAATATCCCACAAATTGAGATATCTTAAATTAGGATATGATTCTGCTATTATGAATAGTGATCTATCATCAAAACCTATACAGTTAACTCTTGTTATAACAAATTCTATGTCCTAGACCTCAACTTCGCTATAAGACTATAGTGAAGATTTTAAGAGATTTGATTGGCCAATTCGCTATAA